CAGGCCTGTGTTTAACGTCAGCAGTTTCATCAGAGGAAACTGTAAATCTAAAATAAAATATGTAAATCAGGTGATTATTTTGTGTTGCTGAGTCAGACTCAGACCTGATCTTCAGAGTTTTGTTCGTTCTTCTGTTGAAGCTCCTGTACATCCTCCCAATGTCCTGCTGCGACTGCCTGGTACTGGCCTTTAGACCTGGTTTAGTCCTGGTCTGGACCTGGTTTAGTCCTGGTTTAGATTTTGTGCATGTGCCACAGTGACATGTGCACACACTTGTGGCTCAAACCCATTTCCTTTGGGATCAATAAAGTTTGTCTGAGTCTAATTTAATGCTAATTAAAATTAAAATTAAAATGTTCCTGTAATCAAATCTTTCAAAGAAACAACATTTCATTTTTTTTAAAGGTACATTGCACAGTTTGTCTGACGAAGGGTCCAATTCAATTAAATACCCCCCCCCACTCTCCCCTTTAGTCCTCCAGACCCCCCCACTCTCCTCTTTAGTCCTCCAGACCCCCCACTCTCCCCTTTAGTCCTCCAGACCCCCCCACTCTCCCCTTTAGTCTCCAGACCCCCCCACTCTCCCCTTTTAGTCCTCCAGACCCCCCACTCTCCCCTTTTAGTCCTCCAGACCCCCCCACTCTCCCTTTAGTCCTCCAGACCCCCCACTCTCCCCTTTAGTCCTCCAGACCCCCCACTCCTCCTCCCCTTTAGTCCTCCAGACCCCCCCACTCTCCCCTTTAGTCCTCCAGACCCCCCCCACTCTCCTCTTTAGTCCTCCAGACCCCCCCACTCTCCCCTTTAGTCCTCCAGACCCCCCCACTCTCCCCTTTAGTCCTCCAGACACCCCACTCTCCCCTTTAGTCCTCCAGACCCCTCCCACTCTCCCCTTTAGTCCTCCAGACCCCCCCACTCTCCCCTTTAGTCCTCCAGACCCCCCCACTCTCCCCTTTAGTCCTCCAGACCCCTCCCACTCTCCCCTTTAGTCCTCCAGACCCCCCACTCTCCCCTTTAGTCCTCCAGACCCCCCCACTCTCCCTTTAGTCCTCCAGACCCCCCCACTCTCCCCTTTAGTCCTCCAGACCCCCCCCACTCTCCCCTTTAGTCCTCCAGACCCCCCCCCACTCTCCCCTTTAGTCCTCCAGACCCCCCCCTCCTCTCCTTTAGTCCTCCAGACCCCCCACTCTCCCCTTTAGTCCTCCAGACCTCCCACTCTCCCCTTTAGTCCTCCAGACCCCCCACTCTCCCCTTTAGTCCTCCAGACCCCCCACTCTCCCCTTTAGTCCTCCAGACCCCCCCACTCTCCCCTTTAGTCCTCCAGACCCCCCCCTCTCTCCCTTTAGTCCTCCAGACCCCCCACTCTCCCCTTTAGTCCTCCAGACCCCCCCACTCTCCCCTTTAGTCCTCCAGACCCCCCACTCTCCCCTTTAGTCCTCCAGACCCCCCCACTCTCCCCTTTAGTCCTCCAGACCCCCCCACTCTCCCTTTAGTCCTCCAGACCCCCCCACTCTCCCCTTTAGTCCTCCAGACCCCCCCACTCTCCCCTTTAGTCCTCCAGACCCCCCACTCTCCCCTTTAGTCCTCCAGACCCCCCCCACTCTCCCTTTAGTCCTCCAGACCCCCCCACTCTCCCCTTTAGTCCTCCAGACCCCCCCACTCTCCTCTTTAGTCCTCCAGACCCCCCCACTCTCCCCTTTAGTCCTCCAGACCCCCCACTCTCCCCTTTAGTCCTCCAGACCCCCCCACTCTCCCTTTAGTCCTCCAGACCCCCCCACTCTCCCCTTTAGTCCTCCAGACCCCCCCACTCTCCCCTTTAGTCCTCCAGACCCCCCCCACTCTCCCCTTTAGTCCTCCAGACCCCCCCACTCTCCCTTTAGTCCTCCAGACCCCCCCACTCTCCCCTTTTAGTCCTCCAGACCCCCCCCACTCTCCCCTTTAGTCCTCCAGACCCCCCCACTCTCCTCTTTAGTCCTCCAGACCCCCCCACTCTCCCCTTTAGTCCTCCAGACCCCCCACTCTCCCCTTTAGTCCTCCAGACCCCCCCCACTCTCCCTTTAGTCCTCCAGACCCCCCCCACTCTCCCCTTTAGTCCTCCAGACCCCCCCCCACTCTCCCCTTTAGTCCTCCAGACCCCCCCACTCTCCCCTTTAGTCCTCCAGACCCCCCCACTCTCCCCTTTAGTCTCCAGACCCCCCCCACTCTCCCCTTTAGTCCTCCAGACCCCCCCACTCTCCCCTTTAGTCCTCCAGACCCCCCCCACTCTCCCCTTTAGTCCTCCAGACCCCCCCACTCTCCCCTTTAGTCCTCCAGACCCCCCACTCTCCCCTTTAGTCCTCCAGACCCCCCCCACTCTCCCCTTTAGTCCTCCAGACCCCCCCCCACTCCCCTTTAGTCCTCCAGACCCCCCCCACTCTCCCCTTTAGTCCTCCAGTCCCCCCCTCTGGGTTAGGACACAAGGACACAGGAAGAACGTGCAAACTCGCACCCTGAGTCACTTCCTGTCTCCTGAGAGTCTGCAGGATGATGTCACGATGATGTCACAGGTCGGTCTCAGGTGAGGGGGCGGAGCTCTGGGACAGGTGAAGCTTTTAGTGAAATTTACCTGCAGCAAGCCCCGCCCCCTTTGGCTCAAACTGAGACAGGTTTATGTGTTAGCCCCGCCCCCTCACCTGGGGTCAATGAGTCACAGGTGAACTACTGCAAAACAATACTACTATAGTACTACTACTGTAGTACTTATACTACAACACTACTACTGCTATAGTACTACTGCTACTACAATACTACTACTTATACTTATACTTAGACTTACACTACAATAGCACCACTACTATAGTACTACTTACACTACTACTACTACTACTACTACTACTACTACTACTACTACTACTACTACTACTACTACTACTACTGCTTTTGGAAATTTATATTAAATAAAACTTGTCTCCACTGCAACTCTGGACCAGGACTAAACCAGGACTAAACCTGGACTAAACCAGGACTAAACCGGGTCTGGACCAGGACTAAACCAGGACTAAACCAGGACTAAACCAGGACTAAACCGGGTCTGGACCAGGACTAAACCAGGACTAAACCAGGACTAAACCGGGTCTGGACCAGGACTAAACCAGGACTAAAGCAGGACTGAACCAGGACTGAACCAGAACTAAACCAGGACTAAACCAGAACTAAACCAGGACTAAACCAGGACTGAACCAGAACTAAACCAGAACTAAACCAGGACTAAACCAGGACTGAACCGGGTCTGGACCAGAACTAAACCAGAACTAAACCAGAACTAAACCAGGTCTAAACCAGAACTAAACCAGGACTAAACCAGGACTGAACCAGGACTAAACCAGGACTAAACCAGAACTAAACCAGGACTAAACCAGAACTAAACCAGGACTAAACCAGGACTGAACCAGAACTAAACCAGAACTAAACCAGGACTAAACCAGGACTGAACCGGGTCTGGACCAGAACTAAACCAGAACTAAACCAGAACTAAACCAGGTCTAAACCAGAACTAAACCAGGACTAAACCAGGACTGAACCAGGACTAAACCAGGACTAAACCAGGACTAAACCAGGACTGAACCAGAACTAAACCAGGACTAAACCAGAACTAAACCAGGACTAAACCAGGACTGAACCAGAACTAAACCAGAACTAAACCAGGACTAAACCAGGACTGAACCGGGTCTGGACCAGAACTAAACCAGAACTAAACCAGAACTAAACCAGGACTAAACCAGGACTGAACCAGGACTAAACCAGGACTAAACCAGGACTGAACCAGGACTAAACCAGAACTAAACCAGGACTAAACCAGAACTAAACCAGGACTAAACCAGGACTGAACCAGAACTAAACCAGAACTAAACCAGGACTAAACCAGGACTGAACCGGGTCTGGACCAGAACTAAACCAGAACTAAACCAGAACTAAACCAGGTCTAAACCAGAACTAAACCAGGACTAAACCAGGACTGAACCAGGACTAAACCAGGACTAAACCAGGACTAAACCAGGACTGAAACCAGAACTAAACCAGGACTAAACCAGGACTAAACCAGAACTAAACCAGGTCTAAACCAGAACTAAACCAGGACTAAACCAGGACTAAACCAGGACTAAACCAGGACTAAACCAGGACTAAACCAGGACTAAACCAGAACTAAACCAGGACTGAACCAGAACTAAACCAGAACTAAACCAGGACTAAACCAGGACTAAACCAGGACTCACAGCTTGTGTCTAGGTGTTTTTTCTCCAGATCATCTGTTTTATAAAAATCATAAATCCTGTCTGCTCCTGTCCTGCTCCTGTCAGCTCCTGTCTGCTCCTGTCAGCTCCTGTCAGCTCCTGTCTGCTCCTGCCTGCTCCTGTCAGCTCCTGTCAGCCCCTGTCAGCTCCTGTCTGCTCCTGCCTGCTCCTGTCAGCTCCTGTCTGCTCCTGTCTGCTCCTGTCTGCTCCCTGCTCCTGTCTGCTCCTGTCTGCTCCTGTCTGCTCCTGTCTGCTCCTGTCTGCTCCTGTCTGCTCCTGTCTGCTCCTGTCTGCTCCTGCCTGCTCCTGCCTGCTCCTGTCTGCTCCTGTCTGCTCCTGTCTGCTCCTGTCTGCTCCTGTCTGCTCCTGTCAGGATGTTATAACTCGAGTCTAAAATGGTTGGTTTCATTTGAGACTCGGAGCGCGCGGACTCTGCGGAGACGTTTTAATGAAACTCATTTTGGGCGCGTGCACGTGTGCGCACGCATGCACGTGAAAGAAGGGGGGGGGGGGGAGGAGCCCAGCGCGCGCGGGGTCAGAGACTCTTCAGTCCCGCTTAGTCCTGGTTTAGTCCTGGTTCAGACCTGGTTTAGTCCTGGTTCAGACCTGGTTCACACCTGGTTTAGTCCTGGTTTAGTCCTGGTTTAGTCCTGATTCATACTCGGGGCTGGTCCTGGTACAGACCCGGATTAAACTTGGACCGAGTCTGGACCGAACCCGGGAGCGCGCGCGATGCTCGGCGCCGTGAAGATGGAAGGCCACGAGGCGCAGGACTGGAGCACGAGCTTCTACGGGGACGAGGTGAGACGCACGAGACCTCAGTTAGTCCTGAGTTAGTCCTGGTTCAGTTCTGGTTTAGTCCTGGTTCAGTCCTGCTTCAGTTCTGGTTTAGTTCTGGTTTAGTCCTGGTTCAGTCCTGCTTCAGTTCTGGTTTAGTTCTGGTTTAGTCCTGGTTTAGTTCTGGTTTAGTCCTGGTTTAGTTCTGGTTTAGTCCTGGTTTAGTCCTGGTTTAGTTCTGGGTCTGGGCTTCGTTCGTTCTTTTATTCTGTGTAAAATAATGTTAATAAAATGAACCGTAAATGTGTTAATCATGATTAAATTATTGTTATTAAATTATCAGAAAAAAAATCTTTGTAAAGACACGCGAGCTGCGGACCTTACGGACTCAACCAAAGTAAAACGGAGCATTTTTATATTATTATTATTATTATTATTATTATTATTATTATTATTATTATTATTATTATTATTATTATTATTATTATTATCATTATTATCATTATTATTATTATTATTATTATCGCAGTGAAATAAATCAAAATAAAGTGAAAGAGTAAAGAGACTCCGTCACATTCAACAGAAGAGGAAAAATAATAATAATAATAAAAAAAAAAAGAAAATAATAATAATAATAATAATAATGATAAATCGGATAAAGAAATACATAGAAAACAAAAGGGCACGTGTGTTAAAAGGGCCATAATTAATAATAATTGAATTAAATAAATCATAATAAATGAAGCTTTGATCTTTGTGCGTGTGTAAAGTAAAGCACGAGACTCAACGCGCGCGCGTTTATTTGTACAGCACAATTCATACACAAAGTCATTCAAAGTACTTTACAGAAAAAGAAATAGATTAAAATCACAAAAACTAAAACATAAATAATCATCATAACATTAAAAAGAGCGACATTAATGAATGACATAAAAGAGCGCGAAGAGCGCGGAATAAAAACCTTTCAGTCAAACGCAGCTAAACACAAATGTTCTGAGTCTGGATTTAAACAGAGTCACAGTCGAGTCACAGTCGAGTCACAGTCGAGTCACAGTCGAGTCACAGTCGAGTCACAGTCGAGTCTGTCTCTTATGTTCACCTGTTCCAGGTTTTATCTGCATGAATCTGAAACTCACTCCCCGTGTTTAGTCCGCGTTAAAACAATCATGTTCTATTTTATTATTATTATTGTTGTTGTTGTTTTTATTATTATTATTATTATATTATTATTATTATTATTATTATTAATAATAATAATAATAATAATAATAATAATAATAGACTTTGATTTACACAGGCAGGTGGAGGATGAGGATCAGACTGATCGAACTCTTTTCTGTCTCTGTCATCATAAACTGAATGAATGAAGTGCTTCTAAATATACAGACAGTATATACATATATATATATATATATATATATATATATATATATATATATATATATATATATATATATATATATATAAATAGTATTTATAAATATATACAGGAGCCAGTGTCTCTGACGCGCTCCGTCTTTAACGCGCTTATAGAAAATCAGAAATAACAGCGGAATCTTTAAGAAGTTTTTATATTTAAGTTATATAAATATAATATATAGGCCTAATATATATAAGTCTATAAGATAAGAGAGACACACTTTTATATGAATATATGATATATATAATGTCCGGTTATACACTCTGCGTTTATGACACGCGCGTTATTCACTTATTGATGGCGGGAATCTGAGTCAAACTCGGGCCACGCGCACGTGTAAATTTGATATAAAATAAATCAACTTTGGCGCAAAAACAACAAGAAAAGCGGATGAATCTTTCGAGTCCGCGCGCGGTTTTTATTCACGACAAAAAATAAAACAGGAAAAAATAAAATAAAAAACAGGACTAAAGGCCGAATGTAACGATGTAACGGACCGGCGAACGTGTCATTATGGCGCATATATGTATATATATATATATATATATATATATATATATATATATATATATATATATATATATATATATATATATATATATATATATATATATATATATATATATATATATATATATATATATATATATATATATATATATGTGTGTATATATATATATATATATATATATATATATATATATATATATATATGTGTGTGTATATATATATATATATATATATATATATATATATATATGTATATATATGTATACTGTGTGTGTGTGTGTGTATATATTTATATATATGTTTATGTATGTGATATATTGTGTATATATAAATGATAAATTGCATAGGCCTATAGATAAATGACAGGTCATTTATCTGGCGTGTGAATGTTCCTCGAGTCGTTGTCGGAGACGTGGCGCAGACAGAGACGATTTAAAAATATATATATACATACATATAAAAACAAAACACATATAGACCGATCAGCATGAGGGGAAATGTGATTCCATTTTGGGATTTTGCACAGTTTTTAACTCTTGTCAGTGTGAAATATCCCAAATTCGCTGCGTCAAAGTAAATCCGAGGAACAAAAGGATGTTCCTTTTTTATGGAAATCACATTTTCAGCCTCAGACACTTCATTTTATTGAGCTCTTGAAAAAAAAAAAAAAAACTCAAAGTGAAATAATGATGAGACTCGGACATTTGGACTAATTTCTGTGACTCCAAATGCTTCTCAGTCTCTTGGGCGGCTCCACGTGCTTCTGTTCATATCTGAGGATGTCGGGAAGCTCCTCCTGAGGTGGCGGATGGAGTCTTGTGGGATGTTTTTCCCAGATCTATGAGGACATCACTGAGCTCCTGCAGAGTCTGAGGAGGAACATGGAGTGTCTGATGGAGCCAAACATAACGTCTCAGAGGTTCTGTCAAGTTTAAGTCAGATGGTGAGGGACGTCTTCATTCCTCCAGGTTCTGCTGCAGACTCTTCCACATGAGGTCAGGTGTCGCGCATCAGGAGAAACCCACGACCTTCTGCACCAACGTAGCTTATGATAATGAGTTCAAGGGTTTCATCCCAATACCTGATGGCGTAAGACGGGCATTTTGCAGCTGGTAGAGGTTTGTGTGTCCCTCCATGGATCTGCCCCCTCAGACCATCACGGACCCACCACCAAACCCTCCTGTGAAGCAGCAGCAGAATGTTCTCCTCATCTTCTCCAGGCTCTTTCACGTCTGTCACAAGAGCTCAGGGTGAACCTGCTCTCATCTATGAGAAGCTCAGGGCACCAGTGGAGGACTTGTGTGGTCTCCAAATGCCAGTGGAGCTGTACGGTGCTGGGTGGTGAGGACAGCGCCCCCTACAGGACGTGGAGCCCTTAAACCACCCTCATGAAGTCTGTGATGGTCTGGACAGAGACGTTCACACCCTGTCCTGCTGGAGGTCATTCTGTAGGACAAAGGCAGAGCTCAGCCTGTTTCTCCTGCACACAGGAGCAGATATGGTTCCTGCTGATGGTGGTGGACCTTCTCTGGCCCTGTCCAGATCTCCTAGAGGAATTGCCCATCTTCTAAAATCTCCACGTTCTGGAGATGGTGCTGGAGACACACTAAACCTCTTGCGACGGCTCAATCAGATGTGACATCCTGGAGAAGTTGGACAATCTGTGCAGCTTCTGTAGGTTCAGGAATGTCCTAATGTCCTCGATTATCACTGTGGCCAAAGAACAAGAGGAGAAACTGGAAATGATCTCCAAGGGTCCAGTTGTGTTTTAGGGTCCAGTCCTGTTTTTGGTGTGGTGTCATTGGTGCCTGTAGCGCCCCCTGGGGTTCATTTCCATTAAAACAGAAGTGTCCTTTTGTCCCTCAGACACTGTCCCATCACATCTGTACAGAAACACTGAGACCTGATGTGTTTCAAACTGTTCCTTCTTTTTTTTTGAACAGTGTATTTGTGTCAAACATTAGGGACACAGAGTTTAAGAAGTTAAGTGAGAGTATTACAAGAGTATAGTAGTATTCTGTGTTTGAGTATTACAGGAGTATAGTAGTATTCTGTGTTTGAGTATTACAGGAGTATAGTAGAAGTATTCTGTGTTTGAGTATTACAGGAGTATAGTAGTATTCTGTGTTTGAGTATTACAGGAGTATAGAAGTATTCTGTGTTTGAGTATTACAGGAGTATAGTAGTATTACGTATAGTAGTATTCTGTGTTTGAGTATTACAGGAGTATAGTAGTATTCTGTAGTATTCTGAGTATTACAGGAGTAGTATTCTGTGTTTAGTATTAGTAGTATTCTGTGTTTGAGTATTACAGGAGTATAGTAGTATTCTGTGTTTGAGTATTACAGGAGTATAGTAGTATTCTGTGTTTGAGTATTACTAGTAGTATTCTGTACAGGAGTATAGTAGTATTCTGTGTTTGAGTATTACAGGAGTATAGTAGTATTCTGTGTTTGAGTATTACAGGAGTATAGTAGTATTCTGTGTTTGAGTATTACAGGAGTAGTAGTATTCTGTGTCTGAGTATTACAGGAGTATTACAGGAGTATAGTAGTATTCTGTGTGAGTTTAGAGTATGAGTATTACAGAGAGAGTATAGTAGTATTCTGTGTTTGAGTATTACAGGAGTATAGTATAGTAGTATTCTGTGTTTGAGTATTACAGGAGTATAGTAGTATTCTGTGTTTGAGTATTACAGGAGTATAGTAGTATTCTGTGTCTGAGTATTACAGGAGTATAGAAGTATTCTGTGTTTGAGTATTACAGGAGTATAGTAGTATTCTGTGTTTGAGTATTACAGGAGTATAGTAGTATTCTGTGTTTGAGTATTACAGGAGTATAGTAGTATTCTGTGTCTGAGTATTACAGGAGTATAGAAGTATTCTGATTCTCAACTAAATCAAAGGGTTAAGGATAAAAATCTAAAACTCTTTCTCTTCATTTGAGATGTTTTGTTCCATTCCACGTGCATCGTTCACAGTTTTATTCCTTTCTGCTGATGCTCAGTTTCTCTCACCTCATTCAGCTCGGTTCCTCCACCAGAGTCTGGAGCCTGACACTTCTTCAGTATCTTTGCTGTTCCAGTGCTGCACTTTTCTGGGCTGAGATGTTCTGTTGTTTTTCCCAGTATCTGTTGTAGTTTCTTCCAGTTTGGAGGTTACAGCCCGAGTGTCTGATCACCACGAGCACCACTGATGCCTTCACTTTCCAGACCTTCTCCAGCTCCTCCTTGAGCCCCTGGTGTTTCTCTAGCTTCTCGTGTTCCTTTTTCCTGATGTTTCCATCTCTTGGTGTTGTGATGTTCACCACCACGGCTCTGCTCTGTTTCTTCTCCACCTCCACTATGTCTGGTTGGTCCATCTCCATCCTGTCAGTCTGGATCTGAAGTCCCACAGGATCTTGGCTCAGTCGTTCTCCACAACCTTTGGAGGTGTTTCCCACCCTGATCCTGGGGTCTCCAGCCTGTACTCTGCACAGATGTTTCTGTGACTCTGCCCGACATTGGTTCTGTGGCTCCATGTTTGTTTCCCTGCAGCATCTGACACCTGCAGTTCTGTGCTGGACTGTCTCAGGAGCCTCTTTGCACAGTCGACACCGTGGGTCTGGTCTGGTGTGGTAGATCTGGGCCTCTATTGCTCGAGTGCCCAGGTCCTGCTCCTGAGCTCCAGGATCAGTGCCTCTGTGTGTCCTTCAGACCCTCTCAAGCCATTGGTAGGATTTCTTGATATCAGCCACTTCAGTTATGTTCCGGTGGTTCATGTAGGGGTTTGTTCTGCCATGATGGTCCCTCCAGCACCTCTTCCTCTGGACCCCACTGTCTGAGACCTTCTCTGAGCACCTCATCTGCCGGGGCCTTGTCCTTGATGTTCTCAAGGAGCTTGGATGTTTCATCCTGGACAGTGGTTCCCACACTCACTAGTCCTCGGCCCCCTTCCTTCCGGCCTGCGTTCAGTCTCAGGGTGCTGGATTTGGGATGGAACCCTCCATACATGTCAGGAGCTTTCGTGTCTTAACATCTGTGGTCTGTATCTCCTCCTTTGGCAGCTTACAATCCCTGCAGGATCTGATCACTGGCAGGGCGGAGCTGTTGATTGCCTGCACCTTGTTCTTGCCATTGAGCTGCTTCTAAGGACTTGCCTCACTCTTTGCAGGTATTTGGCCGTAGCCGCTTTCCTTGTTGCCTCTTCGAGGAGCCATTTGCTTGTGGGATACCAAGGTATATATATATATATATATATATATATATATATATATATATATTATATATATATATATATATATATATATATATATATGTGTGTGTTTAGAGTTCGAGGTTAGGGTTAGAAGGTGAGGGAGTAATTTTGTTGTTGTTAAATGACATCATTTCTGCATCACACATGTGTTTGACACAGGATTTTAAAAAAATATTATTTTCAATATTTCGGGGGAAATATTCAAATCTCATTAAATTTCTGACACAAACAACAGCGTAAAAAGACAAAATCTTTATGCCAATGATGCTGTTTAGAGCAAAGCACAAAGAGAGACAGACCAAGACCACTTCTAGACCCAGACCAGGTTCAGATCAAGTCCAGACTCAAACCAGACCTGATTCTGTTGAGGACTTTAATCAAGTTTCAGAGGGTGAAACAGATTTATAATAATAATGTGATAAAGCGCGGCGTCACGCAGCAGCACACAGCTGTGGTATTAATAGTCTTAATAATAATAGGCCAATGACTCGATACAGGCCTAATATTCATACCAATAATGGTATTATTACTAATAATCAGAGATCTGCGGCGCTGCTGTGATTCGGAGGAAAAGGTCAAACGTTACAAACAGAAATGAGAAAAGTATTTTTAAATTGGCTTTGGATAAAAACATGTTTTTACTGAAATAAAGACACTGACTTTATTAAACGAGTTATTAATAAAACGAAGCATGTGCAGGTTAACCCTTTCACTTCCCACAGCCCCTCAACTCCCCAAGTCTCATTAGAAACAGACTTTTCTGAAACAAATTTATCCCCAGAGCTTGAATTTTTATAATAATAATAATAATAATAATTAATTATTATTATTATTATTATTATTATTATATTATTATTATTATTATTATTATTATTATTATACCCAGGATCTTTGAGCCTCTGGTGTCACTGTGGACGTCGTTCTCGTCTCGTCCGTGTAACATGTGTAATTAGCTGCTGTTTATAAAGGAGGAAAAGGCTGAAGTGGAGAAACAGCAGCTCTGATTGGTCAAAACAGATCACACCCATCACACAGGTGGGCGGAGCCAGGCCCTATCCAGGAAAATATGTGGAAGAAACACAGAGGTACACACACAGAGGTACAGTCACACACAGAGTACAGTCACACACAGAGGTACAGTCACACAGAGGTACAGTCACACAGAGGTACAGTCACACACACACACAGAGGTACAGTCACACAGAGGTACAGTCACACAGAGGTACAGTCACACACAGAGGTACAGTCACACACAGAGTACAGTACAGTCACAACAGAGGTACAGTCACACACAGAGGTACAGTCACACACAGAGGTACAGTCACACAGAGGTACAGTCACACAGAGGTACAGTCACACACAGAGGTACAGTCACACACAGAGGTACAGTCACACACAGAGGTACAGTCACACAGAGGTACAGTCACACACAGAGCTACAGTCACACACAGAGGTACAGTCACACACAGAGGTACAGTCACACACAGAGGTACAGTCACACAGAGGTACAGTCACACACAGAGGTACAGTCACACAGAGGTACAGTCACACACAGAGGTACAGTCACACACAGAGTACAGTCACACAGACAGTCACACAGAGGTACAGTCACACACAGAGGTACAGTCACACAGAGGTACAGTCACACACAGAGGTACAGTCACACAGAGGTACAGTCACACAGAGGTACAGTCACACACAGAGGTACAGTCACACACAGAGGTACAGTCACACACAGAGGTACAGTCACACAGAGGTACAGTCACACACAGAGGTACAGTCACACACAGAGGTACAGTCACACACAGAGGTACAGTCACACAGAGGTACAGTCACACACAGAGGTACAGTCACACAGAGGTACAGTCACACAGAGGTACAGTCACAGAGGTACAGTCACACACACAGAGGTACAGTCACACACAGAGTACAGTCACACAGAGTACAGTCACACAGAGGTACAGTCACACAGAGGTACAGTCACACAGAGGTACAGTCACACACAGAGGTACAGTCACAGAGTACAGTCACACACAGGTACAGTCACACAGAGTACAGTCACACACAGAGGTACAGTCACACAGAGGTACAGTCACACAGAGTACAGTCACACAGAGGTAGTCACACACAGAGGTACAGTCACACAGAGGTACAGTACACACAGAGGTACAGTCACACACAGAGGTACAGTCACACAGTTACTGTGTTCTGTGGAGCTTCTATGAGTTTGAGGTTAAATTCTGTCTGTGTGGAAGACACGACTCTGAGACACCAAACGGTGAAACCAAACGGTGAAACCAAACGGTGAAACCAAACAGACCAGGGAAAGTCGTGGTTTAACTACAGTCACTAACTCTTAGACACTGTGATATTAACTGTGATCTTAAACCTCTGATTTATATGATGTGGGTCTGGGTCTGGTCTGGGTCTATGTCTGGGTCTGGGTCTGGTCTGGGTCTGGTCTGGGTCTGGTCTGGTCTGGGTCTGGTCTGGGTCTGGTCTGGGTCTGGTCAGGGTCTGGGTCTGGTCTGGGTCTGGTCTGGGTCTAGGTCTGGGTCTGGTCTGGGTCTGGGTCTGGGTCTGGGTCTGGTCTGGGTCTGGTCTGGGTCTGGGTCTGGTCTGGGTCTAGGTCTGGGTCTGGGTCTGGGTCTGGGTCTGGGTCTGGGTCTGGTCTGGGTCTGGGTCTGGGTCTGGGTCTGGGTCTGGGTCTGGGTCTAGGTCTGGGTCTGGTCTGGGTCTGGGTCTAGGTCTGGGTCTGGTCTGGGTCTAGGTCTGGGTCTGGTCTGGGTCTGGGTCTGGGTCTGGGTCTGGTCTGGTCTGGTCTGGGTTTATAATGCAGACTTTCTCTCTCTCTGTCCAGGTCTACTCTCCCATGTCCAACAGTTTACCCGGTTCCCTCCAGATGCCCTCCCTGTCCTCCTCTGGACCCTTGTCCTCCTCTGGACCCTTGTCCTCCTCTGGACCCCTGTCCTCCTCTGGTCCTCTGTCCAGCAGTTGTCTGGGGGCAGGGCTCATGTCCCCTATGTCTCAGATGCCCTCCCACATGTCCTCCATGTCCGTGCAGATGCAGCCCATGTCTCAGATCTCGTCTCAGATCTCGTCTCAGATCTCGTCTCAGATGCAGCCTGTGTCCTACATGTCCACTGCGAGTTCTCAGTCGTTCAGTTACTGCGAGGGGCCACAGGGAGGCGCTCTGAGCCCGGCGTACGGCGGCGTCAGCTCGTACGGCAGTAACAGACGTGATGCTAAGTCGTTCCGGCGCAGCTATCCTCACGCCAAACCTCCGTACTCGTACATCTCGCTCATCACCATGGCGATCCAGCAGGCGCCCAATAAGATGCTGACGCTGTCGGAGATCTACGCCTGGATCATGGAGCTGTTTCCGTTTTACCGCCATAACCAGCAGCGCTGGCAGAACTCCATCCGCCACTCTCTCTCCTTCAACGACTGCTTCGTCAAAGTGTCACGTTCGCCCGAGAAGCCCGGGAAGGGTTCCTATTGGACGCTGCACCCCGACTCCGGAAACATGTTTGAAAACGGCTGCTACCTGCGCCGCCAGAAACGCTTTAAGTGTGACAGGAAGCTGAAGGGTAGCCCCGCCCCCAACACCAATAACCCCAACGCCCCCAACACCGGTAACCACGCCCCCGAGCAGCTTCCCGCCCACAATGCCCCTCTGCCCGCCCACAGCGCCCCTCTGCCCGCCCACAGCGCCCCTCTGCCCGCCCACAGCGCCCTGGAGCTGAAGGATGACCCCCGCTTCGCCTTCGATCACCCCTTCTCCATCCACAGCCTGATGTCACACGGCGCCAACGCAAACGCCAACGGCTACGGCGGCCGCGGTCTGGAGCTCGACGCTAACTACTACAGCGCCCCCTACCCCCGGACTCTGCTCCACAGCTCCTAGCCAATCACAGGCCGGGGCTGACCAATCACAGCTCAGGACTGTCTGCATGGACCAATCACCATCGAGAACTGTGCTGTTCCTCATCACCTGATCCTGGGTCAGTTTAATCCTGGTTTAGTTCTGGCTTAGTTCTGGCTTAGTCCTGGCTCAGAGGAAGAACTAAACCAGGACTAAACCAGGTCTTGGACTTGAGAGACTGAATGTTTTGAAGCTGCACTATTTTAGGACTCACTGATTTGGACATGACCTTTTTTGGCACTTCCTTCCTGCACTGTGACCAAAACCTGAATGAGCCTTTAACAGAGCCGACCAATCAGAGAAGAGCTCAACCCACAACCAACCAATCAGAGCTTCCATTCTCAGGTGACATCTGACGGTCAGGAACCAATCAGGTGAAGGTTTATTACTGGTCCCTTCTCCAAACCTTTCTTGTCTTCCTCAGGTCCATTCTGTCAAATACAACCATGTGCACTCTGGTCCTGGTCTGGTCCTGCTCTGGTCCTGGTCTGGTCCTGGTCTGGTCCTGGTCCTGGTCCTGGTCCTGCTCTGGTCCTGGTCTGGTCTGGTCTGGTCTGGTCTGGTCTGGTCTGGTCCTGGTCCTGGTCCTGGTCCTGGTCCTGGTCTGGTCTGGTCCTGGTCTGGTCCTGGTCTGGTCCTGGTCTGGTTCTGGTTCTGGTCCTGGTCTGGTCCTGGTCTGGTCTGGTCTGGTCTGGTCTGGTCTGGTCCTGGTCTGGTCCTGGTCTGGTCCTGGTCCTGGTCTGGTCTGGTCTGGTCCTGGTCTGGTCCTGGTCTGGTTCTGGAGGAGACTGATGAAGTGAAAATATATTAAATCTTTTAACTTCATCAGTTTTTCTGTTTCTGTTCCTCATGTCGTCTCTGAGCTCAGCTGCTCCCTCCTCCTCCTTTCTTCCTCCTCTTTTCTTCCTCCTCTTTTCTTCCTCCTCTTTTCTTCCTCCTCTTTTCTTCCTCCTCCTTTCTTCCTCCTCTTTTCTTCCTCCTCTTTTCTTCCTCCTCTTTTCTTCCTCCTCTTTTCTTCCTCCTCTTTTCTTCCTCCTCCTCTTTTCTTCCTCCTCTTTTCTTCCTCCTCTTTTCTTCCTCCTCTTTTCTTCCTCCTCCTTTCTTCCTCCTCTGTTCTTTCCTCTCCTCTCCTTCGCTCTGGAGTGTTTGTTTTTGTCAGAGTTTGTCGTTTTTTGTCGTCTCTGTGGTGACAGGGGTCAGAGGTCGCAGCTCATTTGCATAAACCCTAAAGTCACATGACCCTCTGAGAGTTTGGGGTTTTGTGTGTGAACCAGACCAGGTCTCCCCGAGGTCCCAGAACCAGACCAGGTCTCCCCGAGGTCCCAGAACCAGACCAGGTCTCCCCGAGGTCCCAGAACCAGACCAGGTCTCCCCGAAGTCTCTGGCACAGTTTGGACTGGGTTTAGTCCTGGTTTAGTCCTGGTTTAGTCCTGGTTTAATCCTGGTTTAGTCCTGGTTTAGTCCTGGTTTAGACCTGGTTTAGACCTGGTTTTAGTCCTGGTTTAGTCCTGGTTTAGTCCTGGTTTAGACCTGGTTTAGTCCTGGTTTAGACCTGGTTTAGACCTGGTTTAGTCCTGGTTTAGTCCTGGTTTAGTCCTGGTTTAGTCCTGGTTTAGTCCTGGTTTAGACCTGGTTTAGTCCTGGTTTAGTCCTGGTTTAGTCCTGGTTTAGTTCTGACACTGACGTCACTCAAACACTTTGTCTCATTTTCATCTTGAGGCCGAGAAACAGAAACATGTTTGTTGATTCAGTTTGTGTCGACAAAAGACGAGGCTAACGCTAACGCTAACGCTAACGCTAACGCCAGCGTAAACCGTCTCCGTGCGTCGACGTCACGTTTAAACCTGTTTATGTAACAGTGGGCGTGGCTCAGGTCAGTGGGCGTGGCTCAGGTCAGTGGGCGTGGCTCAGGTCAGTGGGCGTGACCTGGAGACATCAGATTTTTGAAGTTTACACGAGTCAGGGTCAGGGGTTTGGCCCCTCCCCTTCAAGGTTCTGTGACGCTGCTGTGGTGTCGGCGCCGCGCCCTCCGCCGGGGCGCCGCGCCCTCCGCCGGGGCGCCGCGCCCTCCGCCGGGCGCCGCGCCGCGCCCTCCGCCGGGGCGCCGCGCCCTCCGCCGGGGCGCCGCGCCCTCCGCGCCGGGGCGCCGCGCCCTCCGCCGGGGCGCCGCGCCCTCCGCCGGGGCGCCGCGCCCTCCGCCGGCCTGCAGGTGTGACAGAGTAAACAGAGGAGATCTTCTGGTGACACTGGCTTGTCTCTGCCTGAAGGTGGCGCTCTTCACTCAAACAAACTCACACATTTTCTGTTACTGTAACAGAAGAAGCAGCTCGAGCCCAGAAACGATTTCAACCAAATAAACTTTTGTCCAGTCGACAAACTGAATTTCTCCTTTTGCGTGGATTTTATACATGGATTAAAGAACCAATCAGGCGCCTTCTTTCCCCGACATCGATAGCAACAGGTTTGATTGACAGTGTTGCTAAGGAAAGGGGTGTTACCTTCCACAGCTTCGCTCCTGATTGGTTGTTTGGTTGCCATGGTACCCACAGGCAGAATTCCAAATAGGTCTTGTTACTGGTCCTGATCCTGGTCTTGGTCTTGGTCTTGATCTTGGTCCTGATCCTGATCCTGATCCTGATCCTGATCCTGGTCCTGGTCCTGGTCTTGGTCCTTGTCCTGGGCTTAGTTTCGGTCTTGGATCTGGTCCTGGTCTTGGACCGATGGCTTCAGGGGAACAGTCGATTCTTGGAGTTTTTTAATAAAAGTTTTTTCTCTAAATTCTCAGATTTTCTCTGAAAATGAAACATTTTCATCGTTTAGTTAAAAATCAGCGATAGTTTTAAGTGAGAATCTGGAACAGTTTATCCTCGTCTCGTCTTTTCTCTTCGTGATGATTCAGATTTTGGTGAAAGTTTGTGGAGATTTGAGCTCAGACGCTTTGCTCAGAGGCACAACAACAGAACAGAGAGTTTGATGCGTCTTTGTCAATAAATATAAAATATAATCATATGTTTTAGTTTTTATTTATTTTATTAGATTTTATTTTTTTGGAGCTCCAGATGTCAGGGGCCTTTGGCGACAGTAGATCCCAGGATCAGTGCTCTGTCTCGGGGCTTTGGGCCGCGGTGCCCCGCTGAGTTCTCTGGTTCTTCTGACGATGTTTTTCACAGATTAATTTTTTAATTTTCTGAGTTTTTCTTCTCAAACAAAAGGCTGCGTGTGAGAGCTGCAGAGCCCCGGGGGGGGGGGATCAGAGCTCTGCGGTGGGGTCGCGGCTCCCCGCGGCTCCCGCGGCTCCTTCATCCCC